AAAGAATATATGTATATAAATAACTGAATCACTTTGCTGTACACCAGAAACTAAAACTACATTGTTAATCAACTGTACTTCAATTTTAAAAATTTTTTAATAAAATAAAAAGAATGTATGTCTCATGAGAATCAGAAATCAGCTTTCCAGGATCACTGTTATCTCCATGGAATTTGTTTGAATTTTGGTAGTACTTAGACATAGGTACTGATATAGATGAGAAATCACCTAACATATTTTCCTCAAGGCTCCTCCATGTTGTGTCTCCAGGCACTTTGAAATACCTCTTCTGGAATCGTCTTTTGAGTCTCTGGCACATTCTTTTGAAAGCATTCATTTATTCAAGCCTTATTCCAGGCCCAGGGCCCCTGCCCTAGAGTGCCGCACAGTTTAATCATGACCACCGTGTATCATACAGTACCACGTGGTAAATACTAAATAGGGAGGAAGTACAGGATGCTGTGAGGGTCTCGTTTGTACTCTCAGACCTGGACAGCAACAGTGAAAGATGAATGAGAGGAATGGATAGATAGAGGCAGCAGACTTTCATATCAATTCAGACAGAACTTAAGAAGGTAGCGAAGGTAGTGATGGAGGAGAGACAAGAGGCAGCTATAGGGTTAAACAGGAGGGACTGAGAAACACCCCTGCAGGGGAAACAAGGAGGGGAGGCAGAATGATACCTGCTGCCCAACTGACAGCTGAGTGAAGGAGGCATAAGAGGGAGCCGGGAGAGCAGTCATATCTTACTTATAAACACGCCTCTTCATTGCTACACATAGTTATACAAGAAGGAAAATGAGATTATGTAGAACAAGATTTGAAAACTACATGCTTTCAAATATTCGTTATGATAAAATGTTAATACCACTCCAGAAAATGATTTTTAAATGTACCCATTGAAGTTTACTTTGAAACATAACAGTCAGAAAAAGTTCTAGGACATCTGTTTTACATTTGCCAACTGAAGTTTAGACTAAGAAATATTAATTGGATATTCAAAATCTAATGTCAGTTGTAGTCACTGTAGAAAGTAAAATGACAATCAACCACAAAATACTTACACTGATATACAAAGCACTAGATTCAAAAATGACAACAGAAAGAAATGTATTCATTTAACCAATGTTTATTGAGCATTAATTTCTTGGGTGACCGATTCAATAAGCAAGTATAACAATTACGCAATAAATTAAGTATTAAAGGCTTTGGTTCTTGAAAAGAACACCAAAAGAAGCCATGAGGTACAGAGCAGATTTCCTAGGGGAGGTGACTTTTGTGCTGAGTCCTGAAAAACAGCTAGGAGGAGAGAACACCAGGTAGAAAATACTGTTCATAGTTAGCAGTTATCACGGGCTGGGTGCTTTTCCATACTTTGTCTCATTTTATCCTCTCAACAGCCCTCTGCTGTCGATTACTGTATGTCAGTCAAGGTCCATTTAGGAAACAGATGTCGCACACTGAAGGGACTGTTTACAAGCATGTGGAAACCAGCAGGTGATAATGAACATCTAGGATTAGTAAGTATGGGAAGCTATAACCACTCCTAGAGCTCAAGGGGCCAGGAGAGGGATTGGAGCCTTCTTATGGGAACTTTGGTCTTCTGTAGAGGAATTTAGTCACTACCAAGCCATGGCCAGAGCTGGAGAATAAATATCCCAACTCCTTTTGTCCTCCCACCTGGAAGCCCGCTGTACATCCCAGCAACTGAACCTAATCAGAAACCAGAAGACGCCACTGACAGCATCCTGGGGCGCAGAGCAGAGTGGGAAAGGATGGAGACAAGGTCTGAGGGTACCTGGGATAGCCAGCACTGTTATTTTTCAGTCTCCGCATATTATGTGTGTAGTAACTAAGAGTTCGTGCCCAAGTTTACAAATGAATGGCTGAGACCTGTTTTATTCCAGAGCTTGTGCTCTAACCCAGTGTTCTATACTGTGCACCAGCTACAAAAAACAAAGGAAGCATGGCATTGAGTACCTACTGCATGCCAGACACTTTCCTGTGTGGGGAAAATACAACATGAAACAAAATAAACATTATAACTTACTTAAGGATAAGAGTCAGAGCCTTTTGGAATTTGTTCCACTGCTAGTTCAGTGACTTAAGCAGATAAAAGTCTCTCAGATAAAAGTCTGGAGATAAGCATTTCCGGCCTAGTCTGTGACCCTTTGAAGTCATCAGGGACCTAGGTTCCTTCTGCCTTTCTCTTCAACCATCATTGGTGTGTAGCTTCTGTCCTCAGAATCACAAAATGGTCGTTGTAGCCTAAGCCATCACATCTGCATTCCAAGCAAGAAGCAAGAGGAAATGAAGGAAAATAACCATCTCCTTTTCTAAAGGCATTTTTCTGTAAATTCTACCCAACATCCTCTATATCCCATTGGTCAGAACTCAGTCACATGGCCACACCTAGCAGCAAGAGAAACTGATAAATGTAGTTTTGATAAATGTAGTTAAGACCATTATTCTGTTAGTAAAATCAGAGTTCTTTTAATAAGAAGAGGAAAGTAGCTGCAGTCTAGGCAACCAGCAGACTCTGTCCTAGGATCTTACTCATTTTTATATCTGTACAACCTAACACAAGGACCTGGTATATAGTAGGTGTTCAGTAAATTACTAGTCTCAACTACAAATAATTTAGTTCATGTAGTACAGTCTCAAGAGAGAGGATTAGAGAAGTAAGTCTGGGCCACATGCTAAAGGGCCTTGTCTTCTAAGTTAAAGGTAATTTGAACATGACAGTGATAGGAAAGTTCCCCCAAAATAACCTAGGAATAAGGAACATACATTAGTCCTATGGGAGCAAGCTATGAAGACTAATTTTAAATGGTTGTAACCAAAGAACTGGAAAGTCCACTTACAAAATGGAAAAGCAGCTGATTCCCAAGACAGAGGTACACTTGGCTGTGGCAAAGCTACATCATTAACACAGCTGAAGAAAGGATGCACTGGGAGGAGGGAATGGAGAAGGGATGGTCTGCAGCAGACCAGACGCAGACAGGAGTCAGGAAGGACAGTCTGCCCTGAAATGCTTGTTCTGTCCTTTTTGAGTCGTAAGGTTACTCTTTAACTGAAAAAATTTTCTTTACCTTCTCCCCATGCATACTTGGTAGTAAAACAACAACAAACAACAACAACACTTTTAGTATCAGTTGATTAAGAAAATGCAGAGGTACAAGCTCTGTTCCTTCTGTGATCTTTAGGATTTTGGTCCATAGAACTTGCTCTCATAGTTTTTTGTCCAGGAGCCACCCTTAAGAAAATCATTTTGCATTGTGACCTAGGGATGATCACAGTTTCTCAAAACAGAACTTACCGCTTCTATGACAGATAAACTAGAATTCTCATCTGTACTTTGGTGTCTTTTAATTTGGTTAGCCTCTGTCATCTTTGAATTCTCTTGGAAGATAGCACCTGGATGTTCCCTATGATTTCCTTATTTTCCTGTGGAAGTTTCTTTCACTTTTCATACTAAGGACTTTGGACTTTCTTTTAAAGAAAAACCACTGAAGTGTTTTAATGCAGATTTGCATTTCAGAAAGATAAGATTGGAAGGACTGTGGGTGATGAATTGAACAGAACAGAAGAGAAAGCCCAATCGCAAGTGGGAAACTCTTGCAGGAATCAAGCCAGAGATGATGAGGGCCGGAGACAATCCAACTGGGGTCAAGATAGAAACAGACTAAGGAGTTGAAAAGATATTTCAACAAATGTTAGGGACTGCTTAGAATGGATGTAGCAAGTAAAAAGAAAGAGAAATCTAAGATGAAGAGGGATCAAATATTTCTGGTTTTTGTTGTTATTTATTTTGGGGGGTGGGAAGGTAATTAGGATTTTATTTACTTATTTATTTTAATGGAGGTACAGGGGGTTAAATCCAGGACCTTGTGCATGCTAAGCACTTGCTTTACCACTGAACTATACCTCCCCCCAAAACATTTCTGGTTTAAATGACTGAGCAACCTATGGCCCCAATCACCAAGACAGAGAATATGGCGGATTGGGGGAGTTCATTTTGACATATGGAATTTTAGTTGCCTTTGGGGACCATCATATGAAAGTATTTGTAGCTCAAGTTAGAGCTATGTTATACAGCTAGGGTTGGAGGAGGAGAGTGGAGGGTCTACTGGTGTGTTTGGTGGTGTAATTGAAGCTGGCCCAGGGCATGGCTGAGGTCAGGAGGAGCTCATCACTGTTGTCACTTGTAACGTTTTGTGTATCAGCTATAGTATATAAAAACGCTTAAAAGTGTAAGATATCATGCTATCATAGTTATATGCCTACGAACATATATGTATATGTATTTAGGAATGTAGTTCTTCATAGTTCTTAAGAAAATATAGGTGGGAAAGGAGTAACTGCATATTTGATTTATTATATTATATAAAGTAACATGTTTTGATTGGAATCTGTACCTTATATAAGGAGTTCTGCGTGCTTTATTCTGTAACAGCCCACTTCCTCTGCTGTTTTTTGTTGCTACTCTGTACAGCCAGGCTCTTTGGAGGCTGAAATGATTGAGCAGTAAACCCAAAAAGTACTCTGGTAAATACTTAGCAATTCAGAATACCCAAAGCACCATGATTTGGATCTAGAAATTCTTCACTAAATGTCTGTTGAGTGAATGAGTATATCTATATGTACATAGATAATACAACTAAAAAGAAGCTGTGTCCTTGGGTTTTTTATAATTTTCTTTGAAAATAGAATCAATTCATTAAATACTCACCTCTGTAGGATATATTAAATACAGGCTTTAAGCCAGAAAACACAGCTGTGAACTTTTTTTAATAGACATACAGGTGGGAGATTATTTCTGACAAAAGACAAAATCTTTGCCCTTAAGTAGTAGCCTTCTGAATTAAGAAAAGCAATTATTTACTATAATTTTACAAAGAAAGCCCCAATGTGTAGAGAAACTTCGTTCTCTGAATTGCCTCTCTTACCCTCCTTATACATGTCTTACTTAATTTTCTTTTCTTCTTGATTTTTTACAGACCAAAAAGGAAGCACCTGAGTGGTCTAAGAAGCAAAAGATGAAGACCTAGTGTTCTGGACAGATTTGCTACATCATCATTTACTCCTGAAGTTCTTTTTCCAATGGACAAAAAGTTTATCTTAATCATGTACTTGGCATTTTTTAACTAGCTAATTTAAAGTTTATTTTAACTGAGTGTTAAATTAACAAATTTTATCATAATCAAAATATATAGAGTGAAAATATTTGTTTTTATCTATCTTGTTCCAAAATAAATGTTGTATACTTTATGATTTAAATTTTGGAGCTTTCATAATTCTTCAAGGCACGTTTAATGTGTGGCTTATAAATATTTTGCTCAGTTATTTTGGTGAGTATTTTTCTAACTATATAAATTTTGAGTTTAAATGTCATTAACACAAATACCAAGACACCTTACAATTTTTAAATTAATAACCATTTGGGAAATCTACTAGAAGTCCCTTCAAATGCCAGATAATACTGGTCAGATATCATGTAAGTGGACATGAATTGCTAATTCTTTCTTTAGGCTCTTTTTTCATATATTTTATATTATCATAAGCCAATAAAGTCTGGTAGAAAGTCTGTTATTCCATAAGTCAAGTAAAATTTTGGTGGAAAGTGTCTTGTTACATGGGTCAAAGCAATGCTGATTCAGATGCGGTATGGACCAAATTTCTAGTCAGTGAGGAAGAATCGGTAGCATTTTCTCTTTTTCTTGTAATAAAATGTGCTCCATTTCTTGTTCAAGAGTTAAAATTTAAAAGAAAGAAGAGGGATGGGAGAGAAAGAAACGAAAAGAAATGCGTTTTTCTATTTCAGGTTTTCTCGACCACTGTTGACCTAGAGGCTGGATAATTCTTTGTTCAGGGTGGGAGTAGGGGGCAGTGTTTTGCATTGTAGGGTGTTCATTAGCATCTCTGACCTCTGCCATTAGATGACAGCAGTGCCCCCCCAGTTGTGACAGTCAGAAATGTCTCTTGTCCCGTGGGGTGGCATACCCCCCCCACAACCACCTAGTGAAGAACCACTGATGCATATATCAGTGCTTCTGCTAGTTGAGTGTGAGAGAAGAGAAAAAGCTCTTGATAATAATATATGCTTGTAAATCTACTTTTATCCTAAAAACCCTAACTTATACCTTACCCCCTTTTTTATTTCATTTAGCTACATCGAATATATGACATTTTGCAACAAAGGTTTGTGAAAATGGCCTTTCTCAGGCATGCATTTTAAATCCAGAGAGCATTACAATTCAGTAAAAGTAAACCTATAGACATAATTTGTTTCCTTCTAAAATACTAGAAGAAAATGTCTGTTTTAGTTTCAACTCTAATTATTCATCTAAAAGCATTTTATAATTTAGTTGAGTCAACCCCGTTTGTTACATGTACATATTTTAATATAAAGGAATACTGATTGATTATCCAAGTTAAAGTAATGATGTGGACAAAGGCACAGAAGTAGGAAAATTTGGAGCTAATTTTAAGAATAGAAAACATAGAGGTGGGAGGGTATAGCTCAAGTGGTAGAGTGCATGCTAAGCATGCACAGGGTCCTGGGTTCAATCCTCGGTACCTCCTCTAAAAAAATAATTAATAAACCTAATTATCTTCCCCCAACAACAAAAAAAAGTAGAAAATACAGTGATGAAAAAACTGAGGAAATCTTCCTGACTCCAAATCCCAATTTTTTCCCCTCTTCCCTCCCTTTCATTTCTGAATAGGAATTACTCTTTAAAAAAAATAGTTCCTCTATCATTTCCTACCATTAATAAAGCTCAGGGTTAGATTGTGGCATGAAAGCTGTTTAGAAGACATTTGTGAATTTCTAATTCAGATGCCACACCTTCCAGAAAGTTCTATCTGACCTACTATAATAATCTGTATTATGTACTCTGTACTCTATATCTCTAATTCTGCTCACCATACTTTATAACAACTGTTATACTTGTCCATTTCCTTGAAGGCAAGAATTGTTTTGTCTGCCTTTTTTGGTCTTCAGTATGTAGCACTGTGTCTTGAGTTTAAGGTATAATTTTTTTTTGATGAATTTGAGCACAGATGAGATACAATGATGTCACTTTTTTTATTGTATTAAAAGTTAGAAATTTCTTTTTAGTATTATGTAATCTGTTCTAACTCATTTATTAATATCATCTCAAACCTTTCCTTTTCTCTAAGTTTCCAGATCTTCAGTCTTTTACTGTTTTCTCCTTTTTTTAAATTGTGATTAAAAAATACATAGCATAAAAAGTTAACCATCTACCCATTTTTAAGTGTAGAGTTCAGTAGTGTTAAGTACATTCACATTGTCTTACAACTGATCTCTAAAACTTTTTCATCTTGCAAATCTGGAACTCTGTACCCATTGAACAACCCCCCTCCCTTTTCCCTTTGTCACACCCCACCACATGGTGACCCAGGGTACTCTAAGTCATTATATTGTACAGACAGTGGTTAGATAATCATCAGGAAGTTTAAGGCAAGTTTCCCACCTTCAGTGGAGGTTGAAGTTGTTAATGAGCCAGATTCCCTTTCATTTTAAGATCCTGAAAGGCTAAAGATATGCAAAAAAAGAAAATTGTTTGTTTTAATATTACTCATTTTAAAAAATAATCAATACTGTTAATGCTTCAAAGAAAGACTTCCTGAGGCTTTTGGAAGTCAGCAGACAGAGCTAGCCAGCTAGCTGTCAAATAGAGTCCTCCATTTACTTGGGTTGATTTACAGAGTCCATCGTCCAGTCCTCAGCCTTACAGGCTCGGAAACTTAATTTTATTAATGAACTGAAGGTGACACATATTTCAGGACTCTGCCCACTCCTTGCTGGTGTATAAATCATTATGTATCAGTTGAGAGCAAAAAGTAAAACTACTATACAGAATGTGACTTACTGTGATAAGCGCAAATGACACGTTCTTGCCATTTTCCCTTGACTTCTGCAATACTGGACTCTCATCATTTTTGCCCCTCGCTCCTCTTCTAGGTGGTCATAAAACATTAGCGTTTTTCAGAGTTTCTTTTTCCCCTTAAGTCTTTTTTTCTGTTCTCTACTTATTCTCTTGGTAATTTCTACTCCCTGGCTTCAGTTACCATATGCCAGTACTCCCAAATTTATCTTGTCCAAACTGTTTGCTTTAATATAATACCTTCTTACTTGACACCTCTATTTAAATATCCCATTGTGACCTCAGACTCAACATGTACGAACCTGAATTCACCAAGTTCCTTCTCCAGTGTTCCCAGTTTCAATAAATGGCTCATATTAGTGGCTATTCAGTGACTCCTATCACAAACCAAGTATATGATACCGCCAAACTTCAATCACCAAGCCCTGTTGATCTGCCTCATAAATATTTCCCTTTTCTTAACTTTTGATTATGAAAATTTCCACATACACAGAAGGGCAGAATAAACACCTTAGGGTCATGGATATATTCACTATCTTGACTATAGTGATAGTTTCATGGGTATATATGTACATATAAAAGTATTGATCAAAGTCTATATTTTTAAATGTGCAATTTATTATTTGTCAATTGTTTCGATAAACTTAATTCAGAAATTTTAAATGACCAGATAGCTAAGCCTAAACCCATGTGAAATATTTTTTCTTTCTTGTTAGGTAGAGAATAGTTTTATTTTTCATTTAATGCAAACATGGCCATTGTAATCATAAAATTCAACATCACTGGCAGATTTTTAAATTATTGACTACATGATCATAACTTTAACTTTTTTTTGCAATATTTACAGAGAAGTATTTCACTTACTGACTTCACAGACTAGAAGTTCATAATTAAAAGACTTCTCTGTTGGCATTATCAAGATAAATGCTTCTGAATAGATGGATAAAAACATATATTATTCCCCCAGTCTATAGAATCCAGTTCCTTTATTTCTTGTACTAGAAATACACTGTTTCCTTTATATTCAAAAAAGGTACCTATAGTTTAGAAAAATCTTCATAAATTTCTCTTAAATTAAATTAAGTTTTGATACATGATTTTTTTCCTTATTTTATAGTTGGGCACTTTCTAATAAACACCTAGGTATATTTAATTCTTTGTAATGAAACAGGCTTTTAACTGTATTCAGTAGTTTAGAATCGAACATATTGCCTCCAAATAAAATGGGATGGAATAGAATAAAAATGTCTCCTCTTAACCCAGATGCAATATAAAATAGTTCTTCTCTTTTCTTCTAATAATAGAAATGCTTATGTATCACTTACTAGGAAAAAATGTTTAAAGCTTTAAAGATTTAAACTGTTCATTTCCACAGCATATAATATAGCAGTTATGTCCTTTATTGCTGACAGCTTCATAAAACTAATAATAGTTTCAAACACAGAAAAAGATATAATAAAAGTACAATTTTTTTTAATTTTCTAAAATGCCTTGGCATGTGTAATAAATGGATTAAGAACAGAGAAAAAAATTAATTGCAATTTCTTCCTTTAAATAATCAAAACATAAGCCCAATAAATGAGAAGAAATGTTAGAAGCTGATCCAAAAACTTGAGTAACAGCTTTGCCATTTTAGGGAAATGCATTGAGCACCTTTTAGTTAATTTATCATTATAGTTTCCTTCCAAGTAAAGCCAAGCATGAAGCGATTGTGGGCGGGGAGTGAGGGGGGGGAGGGTAGTGAGGGGCGGAGGACTGTCATGCCTTCTAAATATCTGTGAAACCTTTTTATTATATTTTTGCATTATTACTACTATTTTACTATATCACCCTGTAATTAGCATGTTGATTCTTGAAATTTCGGCCAGATCTTTGCCAATTTTTTAAATTGTAGCAAAAGCACAACTTTTAAGTGTCATTACAGTATCGAGAGTTGTACTTGTAAAAAAAGGTTCCCAGGAGACAAGACCCAGATCGCATAGGACCCAGATTTCTGGTATGAGATGGAATAAATACTCCCAGAGTGGCAGGCGTCAAACCACCGAGGTGGCGCTGGATGGGGATGCGCACGCGGGCGCGCGGATCTAGGGTGCGAATCGACACGCTGCCCCGGACTCCAGGATACAACCCCACCTGCTTTTCAAGCTCCTTTTGCGCTACTCTCTATTTAATGGCCTTTTCTCAGTTCCTTAAACTCTCCTAGCATTCCTTTCCTCAGGATCTTCACCACGTGCTGCTTCCTCTGCCTGGAATACCGCATCCCCGCCTCCTCCCGGGCTAATCTTCAGCCCCACTCCACACTATGGGAGAACTCAGGTTGTGATATAAAATGCTGTTTTTAAAAGAGCCTTAAAACCATGGCCCTAGACAATACTAGAATGGGCATTGCCATCCAGACACTGATTTTAGAGGTTTTAGATTAACAGTGCTGCCATTGCCACGTTGTCTGCACCTCCTCTAATTTACATGCTAGTCACCTTCCAGCCCTTCTGAGAGCCTGTGAACCTGCCTTCCAGATGACTGCGTGCATCTCTGCTCTAATCCAGGAGCTGGTGATTTCAGTTTCCCTCCGGAGGGCTACTTTATTCTTGTATGTGACAATACCCTCCCTCCCCATGCCAGCTACACAAGTTATGTTTCATTTGTTTCCAACATGGCTACCGTAATAGGATTTTGAAGTCATTGCTCAGATTTCTAATGTTGAACATCCCTCTTAAAAAAGGAGATTGTACCTTTTGTCTTCCCTGTCATTTAAATACAATTTAGATGCAAAAGTCACTTTCAGCACATTACAAACATTGTCTTTAATAAATTCATTTATACCACTGGTGTATACTTCCAATGACAGCATTTTCAGGAAAGTACTATGAAATACTCCATGGCCACATACTTAAGTCTTCCTTTCTCCCTCCCTCTCCCTCCTTGCCGTTCTTTTTATTTTTGCTTTAAGCTTTCTTTTTTTTTTAAATTTCCCTTAGTTAATAAACTGGTACCTGAATCAGAACAATGAATTTGGTTGTTTATCTTCTTTGACCTGATGCTTTGTAGCAGATATTTACTGAGTATATGTTTTCTATAGCTAATCATGTTTTATCCTCCCTTTAATAACCATAAAACAATTAAAACATTGAGAATCTAAAATTAAATTCCTATCCCCTAAGCCTTCAAGGTTCATAGCATATGTAATTCTCTGAATGCCATCTGTTGGTGCTTTATTAAGCAAGTTGTTAATGTTATGTAGCAGAAATGTCACTAACATTAAAAACCGTGCTCTAGAATGTGTAGACATTCTCAGCTACTGGTGATTTCTCTCTCATCACTCTGCTCACTTATTTGTAATACTACAGAGTCATAACTCTGCCTCTTTTACTTTCATTTCCTTCCATTTATTTTTGGTAGGATCATCTTGATTTACTATTATTAGCATGATTGGATCATTATCATTTCCAGTTACCAGCACAGTTCCAGGAAATACTACCTGTTCTGTAAAATGTTATCTCACTTTTATTTTCTTACTTCTAATATCCTCTAAAAATTTCTAGCTATTTCAAATACTTTCACCAGGAGCTAGAACGAAGCAATGATCCTGGGGACCTATAACAACTAGTGAATACATTCATCTAGTTCCTATTACCTCTGGTGACTAAAGGGTAAAAGACTATCTATGGCCACCAGGGCAAACTTTCAGAGGACCAAGAACTTCAGGCGGGCA